ACTCCTGTGTGGTTTTTCAGGCTTGGGTTAGACTGGGAACTCTGCAGTAATAAGATAAACGTGCATTTCAGTACTTATGGTTTCAGCTAAAACCACAAGGAAACGATAGACCACTTGTTTTTAAATATTTTGCTTTAATGGGTTTGGCTTCAGGTTTAGGTGAAAGTCCAGACTGATTCTTATTCTAGCTGAATCTCTTTAGCAGGCCCTATGGACCAGCTCCAAAACCATGGAAAGAGTCTGATTGCCTTCTCTGGGCCCTGGAGAAGGTCTTGTGTAAGTAGCTTGGATGACTCAGATTCACGTGCTCTGAATTTTACTGTCAAACTTGGGGTGCTGCTTCTCACCCAGGATGCTGGGAGAGAGTTATGGTGCAGGAGTGTGATTCATCTTTATCTCTGGGAGATGAAAGTATCTCCTAAGGCGAGGTCTAACACGTCCCCAAAGTTGTGGGGTGGGCGAAGGGGAAGGATGGGTATCGGAAGCTCCTTTGCTCTACATTGTCTTCCCTTTTCCCCTATTCTTCACAGAACAATTAAAAAGACACCAATTGCAATAATCTCAAGGAGATAAAGCCTTCTCTTAAGCCCTCTCTAAGAGGGCCCTAGACCCAATGTTCAGTTCTTCGGATTTTAAACTATCAGAAGGAAGTGATGGACTCGGAGGAAATTCTTGCGACAGCCTAAGAGGAAATGAAAGATGTGAAAATACACGGTGGATTTTCCGCCCCCAAGTCATGCACTCTGTTTTTATTATCATAAACCCAGACCCAGAGGATGTTGGGTTATTTATTTATTTGTTTAAATGAGGCTCCTGTCCTTGTTCACCGGTCTCACGTTGGCAGATGGCTCAGTTTGGCTCATGTTGCACTTCACGTTTATTCCTCTTTGGAAGAGGCTGCCAAAAAGGGCACTTTTTTTTTTTTAATCTCAAAGCTTTATCTGTCTTTAAGCTGGGAGAAGTTGAAGACACGTGGGAAAGTGCTGCATCCTTCAAGGAGGGCGATGCTGTGTGCGTGCAGGCTGACCACCGCTCACCTCGCAAGGGGGAAGTGACTGGAACGGGGACATGCTTGGATGAGCCCTGCAGCACAAACTCAACGAGGCCTGCCGCTCTACGCAACCTTGGTCTTACCCCAGTCATCCAGCATGTGCAGCCTAATTCACACCAAATTCTTCTCATCTCCTCAGTCCTAACTGGCTTTGCCTTTCTCTTTGCCTCAGCCCAGTACCTCTTGATACACGGATCCCTTTAGGTCTACACTGGCCACGCAGAGTCCAGGCAGGGCACGTTATTTTTGGATACAGCCAGCAAAAACCAGCCATAAAATCAGCTAACCCACTCTAGGCATTGAGCGCACAGCACCACAAGGTATCTGGAGTAAAAACAAAGTACGGTCACACTCTGCAGGGAAGGATGGAGGGAAGAGCTGAAATACTTGGAGTTTCTTCCAATTCCTCCTTCTTTCCAAAGAGCCTGTGAGCAATCAATTAAGAGAGACAGTCGTATAGAGGGCAGCCAGGTTGCTGGTGCCAATACAGGCAGTATGTGTAACAGTTCGTGGTTAACACCAGCAGTTGAGGACAACTATGAAACTAGTATAGAAATTGGGAGTCAATGACCCGCTATAGGTAAGTGAAGCACGTGATAGATATTTTTTGTCAGAGAGCACAAAAGGAGCTATAGAAGAAATGTAACTACTCTCAGCCTGAAGAGCCGGTCTTCTCTTTGGGGGAAATAGCAGAGCTATTGATAAGAAGATTGAATTTTCTTTGCAATCTTGGACCAAACAAATAAAAAACACCTTAGAAAGAGATGATCTGCCTGGTAAAATCCAATTGCTAATTTAGCAATTTTAGCATTGTCCGATCAAGTCACCCAGTCATGACTGATACTTTCCTGACTGATGGAGGAGAGCATGGGATGAAACCACTGTTCAGAATAAACATCTAATTTTGGACCCAACAATAAAGCCTCCTGGTTTTGACCTGCTGCAAAAAACATGGAAGGCTCTAAATCGGATCTGAACCGGGCACAGCTGCCGTGGTCCCTCGATGCACCCGCGGTGTGGTAGGAGTGCTGCAAAAAATGTGACCCTGGCAATCCTGATCCAACTATGGACCGCATAACAATACTCTGCCCTCTATACAAATTTGATGGTCCCACTGCAAAGATACTTTGCCTTTCCTCAAGAGCGTTACCCTGGTTAATGAGCCTTAAAGTGGACTTATAACTGTTGCTCTGAGTTTGCCAGACAAAAGAAGATAACTGATGCTTATGGAGGGTGCACTACTCTCTGGCACTGGGGATGCCCTGAAGAATTGCTACTAAGAGAGGCACAAGGAGCTCTTAAGTTTTAGTTAAGCAACAACCTGGGTACGGAGCTGTGCATGCTGGGACAGGCAACCCAGTATAAGGAAGAAAGAGCTGCCTTGCTTTGCCCAAGGTTGCACATGCCAGGTAAGGGTGCACAGGATGGAAAGAAAGGGTAGCCACAGCACCACTGATTCAGGGCCTGTCTCCTCTCCGGTGTGCGCGGTCCCTTCCTGCTCGGCCATTTGCAGCAGGCCCCTTAGCTGACCTTTGATGGAAAAGCAGGCAGCACAGACTTGGTGCAGAGGAGCGGCTTGGGCTGGCCCACACAGACAGGGATTTTATGGTGTTTAATGGGGCATCAACCCCTGTAGGTCAGACAAGAAGAGGCAGTTGTGTGCTAAATGCCTGAACTCGGTCTCGAACTCTGTACTCCTCCTCCCCAAGAGGCACAGAGGGCTTATTTATAACTCTGAAATTTCAGGCAACCCAAGAGATGTGTCAAGGGCTCCCTGCACGGCCCACGTTGAGCGGCACGTTGGCTGTGGCAGTACATCCCTGCCGATGTGACCGGGGTCACACAACCTACCGCCCTTACCAGACACCCGTGACTCTTATTTCGAATGGAAATCGTGACCCAGGTGGGAGATAACCTTTGACAGGCACGCTCCATTCCCGTCTGCTATCTCGTGGCTCGGCTTTCACACAGGGGCAGCAGGAAGCTGCCTCACGCTCTCTGCGTGGTGCGGGCGAGTGTGGGAGAAGCACCTGGTAGGAGAAGCACTTTGCTGAAGGAAGAAAACAGGATCTCGCATATAAACAACATCCTCGCTGGCTCGGCCGGCAACTTGCTCTTTCCAGAGTTTGTTTTTGAGCCATTGTTGCGAGCCCCACCTCTTCCCCTGCTCCCCCCGCACCCACGAGTTGCGCTGAAAGGAGGAGCAAGAGGTTTCTGAGCCCTCGACAACGCTGCTCAGACGCTTGCTCCCCGCGTGTGCAGGGGAAGCAGCTGTCTCCAATGGGCAATGAAAAGTCATCCTTCGAGCCTGGGGATGTCTCAGGGAGAAATCAAAAGAGCAACGCAAGTGCCGCTCTCTGGACTCTTTCAGATGAGGGACAGCAGAGAAGGGTTATAGTGTGGCTCCTCAATCCCACTTCTCCTGGATGGGCACTGTTGAATCCTCCTAGAGACAGTCTTGCCTGCCCTTACTCTGAAAACCATTTTCTAGTGTAGAGTTTTTACATTTGGGTATTTTTAATGATCTCTCTTTTCCTTTCCTTCCACCTGCAAAACAAAGATAGAGGCACACCTGCCAACTTGGGCAGTGAACGGTTTCCAGTCCCGGGGGGCATCTCAGCGAATGCAGCCGTGCATGCCTCAAAAGCCCCGTAAGAGCCCTTGGAGGCTGGCCGATCCACGCTGGGTGCGCGAGTGGCTTTCCCCTGCCTTGCAACTGCTTGTGGCCATCTCCCAATATGTCATTGTCAGAGGTGAAGTCAGCTGCCCCTGGCCTGTTAGCAACGTCCGAGCCCTGTGAAAAAAGGTTTGTTCCCAGTGTGTTTACATGAGGATAAAGTGCTCCCTCAACCTCCTGAACTTGCACATTGGCTTGGGCTGAATCCCACCAGCCCCGTGTCTGTTCAGAGCGTGGTCAAAACAACTCTGCTCCCGCCTGTCAGAGGAGATGGATGAGGTCTGATACCATCTGGTAATGCCAGATGATACCCCAGCCCTCGTCCGCAGTTGTTCTTAGGCTGGGACTCCCTAATGGCACAGTTATTGCTCCTAGCGCCGCGTAGTGAGGCTCCTGTGCTCTGACCGGCTCCCTTGAGCCCCCTACCTGCCAGGCCTCAAAGCCCTTCACCCCAAAGCGTCCTTCTCTAGGGTTAGCGATGTGTGCGTCCGAACCAAATGCATCTCTTGCCACTTCTGGGCTCTTCCATCTCTCCCACTCCCTTCCCAAATGACTTCAAGCCGAAGGCAACCTCCCACCTCCTACACACCCTCATGGGTTTTGCCGTGTTCATTTGCTGTCCCTCCTCCTCCTCCGCTCCACCCGAAGGCCCCGGCACTGAAACAAATCCTGCCTCCTGCCCTTTTGTTCTTTTCTTTTGCTTATGCCCGAGTTTCTTTCCAACTTTTCCATTCACCCTCTCCTTCCCTTAGGCTTTCTCATCCTCAGACAAAGAGCACATCTCCTCTTTTTAACTGTCCTGGCTTCTCCCTTTCAAATTTCCATCACCCAGCCTGATCACACCTCCAGCTGTCACCAATAAGCCACCAGGCTCTCCAGCTGCTCACGAAAACAGGCTTTTTCAGGCTGCGCCTCCCAGATCCACCCCAGCAGCAGACACCTCTTCTGCGCCCAGGCCTGTTACCCCTTTAAAAGGGCCCATTCACTCCCCCCGGAGCAGTCCTTTGTAACCCCTGCCCAAATGCAATGATATGGAAGGGCTTTCTGCAACAGGACTGAGGCACAGGCCCAACAAAGAGTTAAATCACAGAGTATTTTTACTTGTTACCGGAAATCTGCAGCTAAAGGCAGCTTCCAGAGAGGAAACATTAAGTTTATTGTGGGAGAAAAGGTAAGTGAAGTGTTAAAGTGATTAGCATGAACGGAGGCTTCCAGTCCATCCTGTTGCAAACTTCCTGTTTAACTTACAAACTAGAAAACAACCACGGAGGGAGAACGTGGCAAAATCCCACCCTTAGCAGCTACAGTGCAAATGTTTTTGACCCCTGATTGCCTTAGACCTACTTTTTTCTCTGGCCTAGGAGTGGAGCACAGCTAAAGCATGTGCAATTTGCTTTGGTACTTGCTCCTTTCAGGCTGCTAGCTTGGATTTTTTTTTTTTAATGTGTGAGTATTTTTATGCTTGAATATCCTGGGCTGGGCTTGAGTGAGAGGAGCAATATAGGCTAAAAGGCAGCTGAGAGCAGCACGTAGCAGGCAGCAAGGAGAAAATTCACAAAGGTTTTGCCATCGCTGCTCACACCTGCTGTGCGTGAGGGAGGCAGAGACACATGCAGCCATAGCGTGGGTTGTAATTTGGCTTCCCCTGGGACTACCCAACCTTTATCACAATTTCCCTAGTATAGCTTATCTAGTGGGTGTGGGGGGATCAAGATTTGGCAATCACGCCACACCTGCTACGTGCATAGGAGAAAGGAGTGGGGTTGCAGCAATTTTAGCTGGAGTGGAGTATAGTCTAGGGGATACAGCCTGAGACGAGGTGTCAGAGCTCCTGGAGTCTATTCTTGGCTCTGCCACTGACTCATTCTGCAACCTTGAGCACACACTTCAGTTCTTTCTTCTTCTATTTCCTTGCCTGTGACATGGATAAGTGCCGTTAGCCCCACGTGACGGGAGAATGAATGGATGTTCCTGCTAGTGCTTGATGAAAAGCACTACAAATGGAGGCACTGTTGAAGAATGTATGCGTTCATTGGAAAATATCGTGTTGGAGTCGAATCCCTCGAAACAAAAGACCTGCTTTACAAAGTTAAACAGAGTAGCTTGTATCATACGACATCAGTTACTAATGGCTGTAGAGAGAAAGTGAAAGATATTGTTGCCTTTCCTGCTAACTGAAGGCCAGCGTCTGGAGTTTTACACGTCTTCTCCATTGGGATGAGGAAGCCAGCAACGTGCTGCTTGGATACTATTTCAGCCAGAACTTGCCTTGTTTTGTTTGCTCACGCGCACGAGTCCTGGAGCAGAGGTATTCACAAACGGCACGCAGGCAACTCCTCCTTTCAGGCTTCTCAGCTCAGCACCAGTGTTCAGCTCCTGGGACACAACTCTGTTATGCAATGCCCCGGGTTCAAGAGAGTTTGCTGTCTGTCCAAGTCATTCTTTCTGCAAAGCTAACATCACACAGTGCATCTGTCATGTACTTACTATATTTACTCCTTCCCTCTCTTAAGGTCCTTCGTGAAACTTAGCTAAGTTGACAGGCCAGATTGCGATGAGAGTCAAAGGTATAGCAAGCCCCAACTGTACAGAGTTTGAACTTAACTGATGACCTATTGTCCCATCATGAGAGCCTGGAATAAGAAGTCGCTTAGATTGTGTTGTTACCTGTTACTGAGGCTGTTAGGACAATGGACTTTACAGCTTGTGACTCTGGGGGTTTCTCAGGTCCCAGCCCCCATGAGCTGAGCAGATCCCCATTTGGGGGAAGCCCAGGGCTGGTGTAGAGGGGCTTCATTCCCTCACCTTCCCTCTGCTGCCCAACCAGGCTGAGAGGTACAGGCAGCTCACAGGCGGGGGAACAGAGGTTTGCTGCCTTAGCTCTGTGATAGCCTGGGGACAGGGCTGGCCTGGCTCAGCCAGAGCGGAGGAGCACTGGAGAAGGTTAGCCCACCCTGTGATGGGGTGCTTAGTGCGGGGCTGCAAAGCATCCTGGGATGCCGGGGGACTGCGACATAACCCGAGTCAGGAGGGGATCTGGAACAGAAGTTCGATACACCAGTCTAACCTAAACTGATTCAATCTGATACTGCATCCATTCAGCTTCCGTCATTTTGAAACCAGTCTACGTGCCCTGGACTTCTGCCTTGTTACAAGTTTAGACTACTTTCTGATCACTTATACCAGTTTATATGTAGTTTTTGTACCTAGTGTAGAAGTTGAGGATGTTGAGATTTTTTTTTTTTTTTAAACCCACTGCTTCAAAATCCCAGCTTCAGGCAGTTTATGACTTTTTTTTTAGATGACATTTTAAGAGAGACAAATTGCATGGAACTGAAGGGTCCACTGAAGGCCATATTCACACTGTTTTTTACTTCGAGGAGAACTAAGGCTAAGGTTGGTCAGTAGTAAAAATCCCACCCCACGTTGCCTATAGCACTCTTGATAAGAGCATGGATTTGCCTTGGCATCCCACGTCAAAATACTGCCTTCTGCAGTGATGCTAGTTGAGTCCCTTTCTCCATCACCTTGGTGTACAAAGCCCAAGTAGCCCGGAGTTGGAGGAGCCTCTTGTCCTTTTAAAGAGGATCAAAGAATTGTTTAAAGTCCCCTCCCAGCAGATACCCTTTTTAAGATGTTCAGGATGCCATATGCCTTCAATATATTATTAGGCTTGAATCTCATTATTTTCTTTCCTTCTCTTTTTTTCCTTTCTAGGGATGCTGTTGAAAGATTTGTGGCATGGCCAGAACGACATGGTTTCCCACAAGCGATTTTTAGTTTTCCGTGAAGAGTTGGCAATGCTGGGGTATATGCCACTGGATGCGATTTCTGCTCCCCATTCACAGCTCTATGGCATTCCTTTCCAGCGTGAAGCCATAGCAATGCTCAGCTCTCAAAGCAAAAATCGATGCAGCCATTAGCTATGCTAAATTGAAATCTTATGAACTACGGTGTGGTTACATAAAATGCCAATTAGTATGTGGTTTACATTGTTGCACATAAATGTTTTTCATTATATTTTACTGTCAGCAAATGCTGGTGTGAAACCAGTTTCCATTCCTCATATGGCCACCATGAGGAGTTTCAGAAAACACACCAGCACGGCTGAACTATTCCTTCAGATTTGTTGTTCGCCCGTCCCCCGGCAACTTCGACTTCTCCACCCAAAGCGACAGGAATGGAAATTTTCATCATGGATGGGCACAGCATAAAATGCGGCATTTGTTTGTTCAGCCTCTGTTGCGACATACGCTCTCCGCTCTCATGCACGCATCAAAGCCTGAACAAGTGCAGAAACGGCAGCTCCCGCTTGCTGCTACTGCTGTTTGTTGTGGTTATAAAATCCTATTTTAGATAATGTTGCTTCGTCGATAAAGCGTTGAGTCATAGGATCTGAGAGATATTGTACAAATAACCACTGGGGGCCCGTATCTATTAAGCTGTCTAGGATGCTTCCTATTAAATAATAACCAAATGCCGTAATAATAACTTGGCAGCCTTTTGCCTCTGTCGGTCAGATATGCTGTGCTTGTCTGCTTTCCCAAACTTCTTGTAAGCATCCTAGCAAGACGTAGAATAGGAAGGAAGGCCATCTCACTCTTGACTTTTGCCTGAACAAGTTCTTAGTCAGTAACTATCTTAGAAGCATAGAAAGGGTGATAAATCCCTCTTTGAAACACTGCAATCGGCAGCGAAGTATGTTGTTACACGGTGCATTTCCTGATAATGCCGGGACAGCGTGTGAATTTGACAAGCTGGGATCTTGGCAGGTTTCACACGAGGAGCTGGCTGGGCGGGACAGCGTCTCTAGCAGCAGGAGCCACCACTCAGGAAATGCTGCAGAAAGAGCTGCTAATTTGGATAGCTGGGACATTTCCCTGTGAATTAATTGCCCAGACAAACATGCAGAGTTGGGTGGGACCCTGTTCTGTTGATAGGTCCATCTATTGGATAAGACCTTAAACAAGGGCTAGAGATACCTGTGCATCAGGAAGGGTTCCCCAGAACTATTTAAAAGATCCAAGGTATTAGCCCCAGAAGCTCAGCACGACTCCAGCTTTGCATCTTGCCTGTAGACAATTGGCGAGTAAACTGGACGAGACACTTGAATTGCAAAGTGCGATAGATTCCACGTATTGATTGATTTTTATCTATCGTTGTTCCTTGAATTGCAGTTTTGTCATCCCCAGTCCAAAGTCTTTGCAAATGATTCATTTGGGTTTATTCTCTGCCATTGCTATTAATACACGCATTGTAAAATTCTACCACTACTTGCTGTTCCTCCCAACTCCATAGCCTCAGATGGGTTTTTTTGGGTGTGTGTCTCAGAAAAATTTGGGCCCTAAATATTTGTTAAGAAGGTGTGGACCACCAAACTACCCTCCAGTTGTATCAGAGACTCCTGAGTTAGGTAGCACCAGCCAGGACATGGTTCCCAGCTGTGAAGTTCTGCAGAGGACATTTCCAAAGATCCCACATTTGTGTTTGCTCAATTCAAGACCATGGAGATGAAACAGAGGAAAGAACAAATATAAAGTAGTGATTCCAGCATGTGGGTCTTGTGATGCAAAAATATCATCCAGAGGGCTTTTTATGTTGCATGAATTCAATTTTTGTGTCCAAATGAGATTATATTATTATAATTATACTTAATCTTGCTGTAGTTGGGGTATTTTTACAGCTCATCATGGGAACCCTATGAACACTCACCATGTCCAAGTCAGCCTCCTTATTTTCTTTTAATTGCATCCTCATACTCATTCCTGTATTCTTTTCTCCTTAATTTGTCTTGCTGCTCCTCCAAGGTCTCTCTCTCTCAAGCAGAAGACTTGATTTTCCTTCTTTTTTCTCCTGAGCAGAAGAAGGGATTTTGCTCTTGTAACCCTTCCCACCCAGAAAGGAGTTTTGTTTCTGACTTCAAAGGGCTTAGGATTGCATCTTGTGTTTCTAACTAATTGTCATTTTTCATTGCTGATCCAAACCATGCAAATCTATCACTTAACCTTGAACAGGCTGCTTGTTCATACAAGAAATTGGGAATTATTAACTCATGAAACTCACTGCTACTGGATATTAGCATTAGGAGACGTCAAAATAAGAGGATGCATTTCTGAGCAAGATATTTATCTTAGCATAAAATAGTTTATGCCAACTAGCGTTAAGGTGACATTTGATATGTTTATGGATGGGATTACAGGACACTGGTACATGAGCCAATGCCACAGGAAGTTTTTAGTCTTATGCCCCTAAACTACATAAAAAAAATCTGTATTTCTGCTTCAGTCAGTGCCTCAGCTAAAACTCTAAATGGAGACTAAGTAACTTTTTGCATTTTAATCAGGAAGTCAGCTTCCCTCTTTTATTCAGTTAACGTTATGGAATCAAAACTCATGGTAGAGGTGATATCTTTAATTAGACCTACTAGATTTTTGCAAATAAAAATAAAAATAAATTAAATTGCAAGCTTTCGGGCACAAATACCCATCAACAGGGATAGGAGAAAAGATAGTAAAAGTTCTCCTGGGTAGAAATGAAAGTTCATTTTTCATAGGAGAGCTGAAGGTGTAGTAACATCTCCTGTTTGGAACAGTTCATCACACACACACACACACACACACACACTCCTTTTATATTTTATATTTTTATGAACTGATCCAAACAGGAGATTTCACCACACCTTCAGCTCTCCTATGAAATATGAACTTTCATTTCTACCCAGGAGAACTTTTATAATCTTTTCTCCTATCCCTGTTGATGGGTATTTGTGCTTGAAATCTTGCAAATAAAGAAATATTTTTGCAAACATCTACTTGGTGTAATAAAAGATATCACCTCTACCATGAGTTTTGATTCTTTTTGCCTCTAGACCAATACGTTAGACCAATTGTTAGGATTCCCAAGCTAACATTATTGCACTTAAAACCTCAAATCTCTAAGCTTCAAACGGCTGAGGTTTTTGCCAACTGGATTGTATTGTCTCTTGCAAATCAAGAGAAGTGATTCTTTAATCTATTTGGAACCAGTGAGGCCTTACCTGGAGTATTGTGTCCTATTTTCGGCCTTATATTTCACAAATGATGTGGGCAGGTTGGAAAGAGTCTGCTGGAGAGCAACAAACATGGTTAGAGGCATGATAAGTGGCATGGTTTATGAGGAGAGGCTGAAAGAGCTAGGATTTCATCTGGAGTAGAGATGGCTAAGGGGAGATTTGAGAACAGTCTTCCAATTCCTGAATGGAGATGATAAAGAGGATGGAGATAACCTTTTCTCTGTGACTGTAGGGACACAACTAGGAGCAATGGCCTCGAGCTGCAGCAGAGGAAATTTAAATGAGAGATTAGGAAGAACTTTTTGACTATGAGGGTGGTCAAGCATTGGGATAAACTACCTAGTCATGTTGTGGACTCTCTATCTCTGGACATTTTCAAAAGCAGGTTAGACAGACAGTTGGCTGGGATGGTTTGGGCAGGGATGATCCCATCATGAGCACGGGGCTGGACTAGATGCGACCTCATAAAGTCCCCTTCCAACTCTACTTTCCTACGATGCAATCCTATGAACTGACCACACCTGACAACCATACCACCACTAGACGGGCACTCCATGTTCTTCGGGCACTTTTGGCACACTAGCATATCAAATGAAGAGCATCTCGGGCAAGCCAAGTGGCCCACACAGTCCAGCAAACAGCACTGGACCAAGCAGGTCCTTTTTGTTTGTTTGTTTGTTTTTTGCCTTTAGCTCATCACTGCGGGAGCATTTCCTGAGCACAAAGCATCCTGTTTTTCCTTCACAGTGAAAACAATTCAGTAAATCTGTAATAATGCTGAGAAACTTGATGCCAGTAGAGACGGAGATTAATAACATAAAAGAGTGTTGAGGGCCAAGTTAGGACAATAATGCATCTCCCCATCCCAGTAAGATCAAAGGCCTTGTGGGTATGTCTATGTAGCATAACATGGTGTTAAGCAGAGATAGTCAAGCTCCAGTATCTTTGCATGGCACTGCACTGTGTAGTGTAGGTATGCCCTAAAAGAGACTAGTCACACTCCCAAACACATGACCTCCATCAAGCTCCTAAATACGTCCTAAAGTGAAGATCATCTTAGTGACTCTTTACAAGTTAGTCAAATGGTTCAGCCAACGTGTGCCTGTGTTCTTTGAAATACTAATCCTGGAATGAATTATGCTCCAGCAAAGTCTCCTGGGGTTACGTACCAGTATGCAAGCGGGCAGTGAGAAATATGGTGCATGCGTCTCTCTTTGCCAGCATTTCACTTATGAGGGGAAGCATTCATGGTTTGTCACACCACGTTTGTGGGTTAAGGAGAGTAGAATAATAGAAACAGGCTGAAATTTAATAGTACAAAATACAGGACTGTGCAACATGGGAATTAATGACACGAATTTGTGTTGCAAACCTGGGGGGGTACTAGATGGGAATTAATTACATGAATTTGTGTTGCAAACCTGGGAGTTTCCTATGATCAGCTAGTTTTGTGCTGCAAAACTAGCTGATCATAGGATGATGATAAGACATCCAGGTGATGCACCCAGGAAAAATTCAAATAGGATCCTAGCGATGTTTCAGTAGACATATTTCTTGTAGAGACAGGATTGTAGTCATGCCATTGTGGAAGTCCTGGTAAGACCCCACCTGCAATGCTTTGTTGCATTTCCAGTGTTTCATGTTCAAAAGGGATGATTTCACAGTGAAGAGGTGCAGAGGAGCGCTACAAGGATGATTAGGGAAGAAAGAATCTATTTTAATGAGGAGACTGGAAGAGCTTGGTCGTTTGCCTTAGCAAAGTGAGAGCTGAGAGGAGACATGATTTTTGTCTTGAAATACATCAGAGGGAAACACCGTGGAGGTAGAGGGGCTGTTTAAATTCAAGGAAAAAAATGACAAAAGCCTCTACTGTAGGTCCTGGTTCTGCCAGGACAGTCATGGACTTTGGAGGCCAGTCCTAGCTAGCCATTAAAATTAAAGCAAGAGTCCTGGGTGGAGGTGAGGAGGCAGAGTGGCATGAGCTGTGAAATAGGAAGCCCTAGCAGACAGCAAAATTGCCCTAAAATAGGTTAGCTTGATTAGTGGACTGACCATTAAAAAGGAGAGATAATTGTTAACGCCTGTGAAGTAAAGAGCAGTGGTCATTAACAGTCCATTGACTCCCGTAGCTGCCTGAACAGTGCTACCATGCTGCTTCACTCCTACCTCCGCAGTGCCGGCAGGGGAGAGGGGGGCGGCAATGTCCCAGATTTCACATTGTCCCATATGGTCACCCTACTCAACTGCAACTGGCCATGAATAAACTGAGGTTGGGAATTAGAGAAAAAAGTTTCTAAGCATCAGAGCAGTGAGGTTTTGGAGGGGGACTAGCCTTCCTAGACTAATGAAGGCAAACCCCTAATTACATTGATTAGTTTAGGAAAGAGACGATATGATACGGTTTTCTTCAGTGCCAGGCACTCGACTTTTTAATGGACCA